TCTCATAGCATTCAATGTAAATCCTTGAATGCTAGCACATTGTACTTTAGCATTCAAGATTTCTTTCTGAATTCTAACAAGTTAGATAAGCATTCTTTGAGAAAAATGTTGAATGCTAATAACTTTTTTCTTACTGTAGCATTCAAACTAAGTGGTTCTGAATATGAATGCTAAAATTCCTAAAATGACCACTAATTTAGCACTCGAATGCTTATGGAATGCTTAGCGAATGCTATTTTAGCATTCCGCTTTGGTAAGGGTAACTAACCTTTGAAACCATTAATTAGAACTTATTTATCGGATTCGGCCGCGCACTTGTTCGGCCGTAAGATATTCAATGCCCAAATAAGGGTTATTGTATGGAACGCCAAGTAGTATGCATGTAATCAATGCATGAATTAGATATCACAGTGCAATGTCTGTCTCTTATACACATCTAGATGTGTATACATACATACATACATACAGAATATCCTTTTTCCGTTTACTACTTACCGCACAGTACTCTGAATCTTATTTTTATATTTTAATTTTGGTTCCACTTTATACAACCTTCATAGTTTCTGTGGCAACCTTTCATTTTGAACCTTGATGACTTTTGTTCTTTTATTTAAAAGTTTTTCAAAAGTTTTTGTATGTTTTAATCTATTATGATTGAGAAATGAATAAAAGTGAAATAACATTTATTCATTTCTCAATCTATCTTGATTGAGAAATGAATAAATGTTACTTTACTTTACCCTCGTCAGTAATTACTTATATATATTTTATTATTATTAGGTCTAAAGAATAATTTTCTATAGTTATTCATTATTCAGTCTATTTTTTATATATTTATTTATATTTGTATTCATGCTATTATAGGCTTAGATGTTTGAAATAAGTCAAAATGTAATGATTACTTACTAGTTAACAATACAATGGCCGGTAATGATGAGTTGACTCCAGCAGCAACGGATGTACTAATGCCAAGATCTTCTTTCCAGTAAGACAAGCAGATTCCAAAGGAATAAATAACGCCTACAATCATCATCATATTGAAGAAGCAACAGATGACTATTATCCACCCCCAGCCTCCATCTGGGGGTTTGGCATGGATCGCTTTCTTTCCTCCTCTGCTTAACCTCATCTTAAAACCTGAGGAACATCAATATATGAAGACTGGTTATTATATGATACACAATCGTTACATAACGGTACTGCATACACACGATAGCAGATACAGCGCCATAACAAATTTTCACCTACAGACACCAAATAGGTTATATATTCACCGCCGCTTGTTTGTGTGTCTGTTCGGCTCTTGGTGTTAAATCGAAAATTCACTTTGGCCCTCCGACCAATTTTTATGCCCACCCCTGCTATATAGAGAGAGTTGCGACATGAATGGTTCACCTTATTATTGGCATACAGTACCAGGAAAAGTGTAAATCAGGCAAGTCAACTCTCGGTGGGACTTCATAGAACCCTTTACTATCTGACGGAATGCCAGTCAAGTCACCCCCTTGTAAAGTCGCCCCTTACAAAGTTGCCTCCTAACCAAGTCGCCCCCCTCCCCAGCAAAGTCGCCCGCTAGCAAAGTCGCCTCCTAACCAAGTCGCCCCCTAACATTTATTTTCTATAAATTAGTGTAAGATAACAAAGCATTTTGTGCAACTAGTAAAATGCTGTAAAGATATTTTAGTCAACATGGCTAGACATTTTATTCATCGTAAATACACATTTTGTTTAATAAAAGTAGTTTTCAGGCTGTGCATATTATTTATTATTTGCATTTTCTTGTGATAAATTTGGATGCACCACTTGAGTGTGTCACTGATTCAAGTGTAATTTTCGAATAAATTGACTAAAAGTATTTGTACACCTTCCTGCTCTCATGTATGCATAGCTTCTACAGTTTTCACTGCATCATAGTTTTCATAACTTTCTGTATGCCGGGTTATTATCAATATTAGCATTCAATGTACCCTGCCCTCCCCCTCCCCACATTCCACTGGCATGGCATTCAAGGTACAGAAGCTGCCACTGGCATAGTATTCAATGTAGTTCCCTGAATGCTAGCACTGAAGTTAATATTAAAATATTCAGGATAACTTTCTGAATGCTATCTATTCTCATAGCATTCAATGTAAATCCTTGAATGCTAGCACATTGTACTTTAGCATTCAAGATTTCTTTCTGAATTCTAACAAGTTAGATAAGCATTCTTTGAGAAAAATGTTGAATGCTAATAACTTTTTTCTTACTGTAGCATTCAAACTAAGTGGTTCTGAATATGAATGCTAAAATTCCTAAAATGACCACTAATTTAGCACTCAAATGCTTATGGAATGCTTAGCGAATGCTATTTTAGCATTCCGCTTTGGTAAGGGTAACTAACCTTTGAAACCATTAATTAGAACTTATTTATCGGATTCGGCCGCGCACTTGTTCGGCCGTAAGATATTCAATGCCCAAATAAGGGTTATTGTATGGAACGCCAAGTAGTATGCATGTAATCAATGCATGAATTAGATATCACAGTGCAATGTTGGCCAGAGGTACGTTAGGCGGCATACTGTACAGGGAAATCATTCGTAATAATATCGACTTTCTGGAATAAAGAGTATAGTGTTCTTCTAAGTATTCAATTCAATTTTCTCTCCATTTGAGAGAAAAACATTGTACAAAAGAGCATTAAATATCTTACGGCCGAACAAGTGTACGGCCGAATCCGATAAATAAGTTCTAAGTAACGGTTTCAAAGGTTAGTTAATAATTATAATGTTCAATATTAGTCAAGGGGGCGACTTGGTTAGGGGGAGACTTGGTTAGAGGGCGACTTTGCGGGGGAGACTTGGTTAGAGGGTGACTTGACAAAGGGGGCAACTTTACCAAGTGGGCGACTTTGTAGGGGGAGACTTTGTAAGGGGCGACTTTACAAGGGGGAGACTTGACTGGATCCCATCTGACGTCAGGCCAGACGTGTCCGCATTAAGTTGCTGATGCTAACCCATGACTAGGCCTGCAGTGTTATCTAACAGGTCTGGCCAGATAAGATGATTGAACAAAGAGAAGACTCGGAAGGGGAAATGATGGCGCCAAGGATATCTGATGTGGGGAAGAGAGGAGATAAGTGGTCTTCCAAAATTCTAAAAATAAAAGAGATTAAGATTTGGTCTGAGGGCTTCAGCTGCGCCACCCACTCCCCCTCTCCACATGCCAGTGTGAAAGTCATGCAAACAGTGCCTACTCTCAATGTACAACCAAGCAGCAATTACACTATTCCATGCAGGTAATTTCACAAGTGAATTTCCATGCAAATGACAGTTTTCTGCTCAAAAAAAAAAGTTGAAAGTTTACAGTGTGAGTGCTTAGGGTGCCTGAGCATCCCTTTAATTTTGTTCAAAGCAAGGTTAAAAAGTATAGTAAATTAACAGAAGTAAAATACTGTTTGAAGGTTTGCATGGCGAAATAATAATATATTAATGCTTGCGGTACACCACATAGATAGTTTTGGAAAGAACTGTTGTTGTTGGTTGAGAATTCTCACCCAACAACAACAGTTCTTTTCAGACTACTGTATCTACGTGGTGTTCTACAAGCATTAATACATATTAACAGAAGTAATTAAATGTTACTTTATGCATAACAAGCATTAATTTGTCATTAAAATTCTTATTTACTGTACAATATAATTTAAGATAGCTGTTAACACTGTTAAATTATAATTACATAAATCATTGAAGAAAGAACGAATAAAAGACATGATAGTATACATGGATTTCTGGAACGTGCACGAGAGTCATGAGTCTCAATATTCTACTCTGGAAAATGTAGACATTTGGGGAATATGCTCACTCCGCACCAGCCCCCATACACCTGCATAGCCCGGGCCAATCCATAAGCCAATCAAATGTAATTATTAAGGTACCATTCCAAAGTAAGGGCACTCGGCTGAGATGATGTGCAGACCTTCCCTCTCCCCCACCACCAGGTCCCACACTGATTTACTTACGTATGTTGTTTCCAACACTCCTCCACCACCCCCACCCCGCTTGCACCGCCACTGTGATGGTGGATTCAAGGCCCATTAAAGGGCCTTATCAAAATTATAATCATGATTCTTATCAGGCCACAACCTGATAACAGTGGGATTCAAGGGTGTGCGGTAGCTGGGTTTGATCAGGGAGTTGGTTTGATACGTTAATCACTATAATCATCATACCACATTGCAACAACAAGCAAGTTGTTGTTGAGCCAATAGAAAGTCGATCACGTACTTACCTCGGTTAAATACCCCGACTAAAAAAACATGAGAATAAACATCAGTCTGGACAATTAAACGAAATGATAACCAATAAAAGAATGAAGAGACAGTGCTGCATTTTGTTGATCGACAAACTTCCAGACTAAAAAAAAACACCGGGCCATCAAAGATCTTATAAACACAAGATAGCGTTCTCCGCGATTTACGCGTGCAAATTCTGTAATAAGGCATGAATGGCGCCCTCTTGCTAAATGG